ACCTCCAGGACCCACAAGTCAAAAACGTATGAAATTTTGTGAAGATCTGATTTGTAAGTAATAATTACTGAAGCTTATTGAGCACCATTTGCTATGCCTAGACATAATTCAAGGCAAAAATAAATAAATGAATAAATAAAATTTTTGGGTGTGTGTATATGTGTACTTTTAAATCTCACAATAATGAATTATTATTAGCCCCATTTTACAGATGAAGAAAATGAGGTACTGATAGATTTAGTTAGTGAAACAGAAAAAGGATATTAAGATGACAAGTCTTAGAAATACCATGATAGGTGATCTTCAAGTATATTTTCAACATATCCAAGAAACCAATGTGACCCAGACATATCCTCTGGGGGTTGTTTCTGAGAGACAGTCAGAACAGAATAAAAAGGAAATAAACAGAGTCAAGGATACTCTAGAATCAGACTGCTTCTCTTCCACTTACTGCTTGTATGACTGTATTAAAATCCTTACCTGACCTCAGATTCTACATCCAGCAAGAAGGGGTTGGGACTAGATGGATAACTTGGTGATTTATGTAACTTAAAGACCTTCCATAAAGTCTAAGAAATGGCTCATATGTTCTGGCACGATATTGATTGCCAGGACCTGTGCTTTGTAATAACTGTTCCTCAATGAATAGTAATAGATCACAATACTGTGTTTTGACTGTAGGGAATTTAAAATTAATGCTAGCAGGCAAGAGGAATTGCATACTGGGATTAAAGTGGTAGCAATGGAGTTGAGAAAGGAAAGATTCAGGGATATATTCTGAATGAAAAGAATTCAATTTAAATTCACTTTAATTATACCAGAAAGGTGTTTGTTTTCATTTCAAACCACTTGAACTATGGAAAACAATGTAATATGAAATTGTCAAAAAATAAAGTTAACATATCAAAAGATAAACTCTGGTATGTTTTAATATTCAACAGCAAGCTATGGATATTTGGGAGAGAATATGGGAATGAGAGATTTCTCACCTGTAAAATAAAGGAGTTAGACAGTATTATGCTAAATTAAATAAGTCAGTCAGAGAAAGACAAATACCATATGATTTCACTCATATGTGGAAGTTAAGAAATAAAACAAATGAACATGGAGGAGAGGAAGAGAGGCAAACCATGAAACAAACTCTTAACTATAGAGAACAAATGAAGGTTACCAGAGGGGAGGTGGGCATGGGGATTAAGGAGCTCACCTGCTGTGATGAGCACTGGGTATTGTATGGAAACATTGAATCACTAAATTCTACACCTTAAACTAATATTACACTGTATGTTAACTAACTGGAATTTAAATTAAAATTTGGAAGCAGGGCATCTGGGTGGTTCAGTCAGTGAAGCTTCCGATTTTGGCTCAGGTCATGATCTCATGGTTCAGGGGTTCGAGCCCCACAGAGGGCTCTGTGCTGACAACTCAGGCCCAGGAGCCTGCTTCATATTCTGTGTCTTCCTCTTTCCCTGCCCCTCCCCTGCTCATGTTCTGTTTCTGTCTCCAAAATAAATAAATAAACATTACTAAAAAAAACTTGGAAGAAAAAAGTTCAAAATAAAATAAAGTAAAATAAGAATTGAAACAGATAATCTATAGACCTCCTCAGAACCTTACAATTCTTTATTCAGTATTTCATAAGTACTTATTGAGCATTTCACATGGACTTCCCCCTATCATAGGCAGAGCAAACAAACAGAATAAGAAAATATCATCCATGCCTTCAAAGAGATGCTAATCTAATTATGAGATCACTGTAGATCAAACTGCTGGAAACAAAATATACAATTGCAATATAATACATATTTTCAATTTATCCCTGTTTTATTATATAAATTAGAACATACTTAGAAAAACTCTTTTTGAAATAATGGAAAGTTTTAGAATTAAGACATTAAAAATAGTAACATATTGGGATAAAAAAGTAACTGATTAATTATTTTTATTTGTTGACCAGACAATATAAACTTAGTGTATTTTAATAGGGCTGGCTTTAGAATGTAATTGGAAAGTTACATTGGCAGGAAGCAGAGTTCTCTCATGATAAGCATAATGATAGCATTGGAAAGAAAAGAGAACAATTGCCTCTGGTTTATAAAAGAGGGAAGGGATGCAAGTGTTAGGAGCACTAAAACTTCATAGAGTGGCTCAGTGGGTTAAGCCTCTGACACTTGATTTCAACTCAGGCTGTGATCTCAAGGTTTGTGAGTTCGAACCCTGCATTGGGCTCTGTGCTCTCAGCTTGGGATTCTCTCTCCTCACATCTCTCTCTCAAAATAAATAAATAAACTTAAAAAAAACCCAAAAAACCTTCAACTGTTGCCTACAGCAAAATGATTGTCACTATAGTGATACTGAGCCAGGATAAGTGTCAAATAGAAGGGTCAAATTGAAAGATAAATTGTCCCCCAATATAAAGTATCCACACTCAGATAGGCAGCAGTAACATGGGAGGTAGATTATCCTCATAAATTTCCCTTTTCATAAACTTGTTTTCATAAAATATGAAAATTCTTGTGAAATTTTCTCTTCAGGATTCCATTTCTTTTTGTTAATGGGATGTTCACAAAAGTCAAGATTTTAAAAAATAGTTGAATTGATGAAGACAAAGATTAATATTAAGATTTTAAATATTCCTAGTATCTTAATGGAAATATAATGCATATTTAAAATTAAATTAAGTTCTTAAGAGATCAAGAAGATAAATTAATCAGGATCTAACTTTCAAAATGAGGGAGGAGAAACCAAATCCATTATCATCGTAAGACAGAAATTCTCATACTGTAATAGAAATATTGCTTTGAGAAAAATTTCCCAGATAATTTTTTAAATGTTTAATTATTTATATTGAGAGGTGAGGGAGAGAATGTAAGCTACAGAGGGGCAGAGAGAGAGGAAGAGAGAGAATCCCAAGCAACCTCCATGCTGTCAGTGCAGAGTCTGATGCAGTGCTCGATCTCAGAAACTGAGATCATGACCTGAGTCAAAATCAAGAATTGGATACTTAACTGAGCCAGCCTAGGCACTGCTTCCAGATAATTTTTATAAAACATTTTACCCACATTGCAAAAAAAAAAAAAAGTGAGATTTCAATAAAGCAGAGATGACTTAAAATTATATATATAATGGAAAGAAATAAAAGCATGAAAAATTTTAATGCACTCATTCATTCAACAAATACTTTTAGAGCATTTCTGTGTTAGGTGCTGCGTCCAGTGATCATATACGATATCATATTCATATGGCATGGATTTCAAAATCCTAAGGGACTCACAGTGAGGAATGGCGGTAGGGCAAATAAATATACAGCAAACATTAAAAAGGCAATCAAACTGTATCTGATAATAATCATAAAGGTAGTAAAGGTTATAGGAGATATAAGTTAATGATCTGTTCAAATGACTGAAGATGGCTAACAAAGTAGGCAGCACAATGAGATACATATTGAAGGATGTAGGACTTTTTAAATGTATTGGGAGAGAGAAATAACAAAGATGTTAACATAAGAAACTGACACAAGACAAACAGGTATGAAAGGGTCAGGAATTAGTAAGCCTTGACTGCTATAGTGAATATTTTGTGCCTTAAATGTATAGGTAATCATGAGCCACCGTCATTTACGCCAGGCATAAAAATCATAGAATCATAAAACTGTTGGAGGCTGGTGGGGAGCCAGGGATGGGATGAGAATGTTGAGAAGAGTAATGATGTCATTTCCTCCTTCCTTGTTCCTGGAAGAATTCCTAAATTAACCACTACACTCTTCCATTGATTCTGTACATGACTCTAGAATGCCATTTCAACACAATATTCCAGGAAATCACTGCCAATGTCACTAAGTTAAATGTGAAGTTTGAATATTCATCCAGTATTTTGTTGTTTTTATTTTTATTTACTCTTCCACATTTCATATTCAATCATTTGACCAGAACAAGTTATCAACCCAGACTCTATACTAGGCACTCGTGGAAAAGAAAACAGACCCAAACTTAATCAATACTGTGTTTAGGAATGTTAGAAAGAAAGAGCAATATATATTCTGAGATGGTGTCAGCTCTTGGGGTAAAGAATCTTTATATTATTTTAATAATTCAGCTTTCTGGGCAGTGTCTGAACTGGGATGATGACAGTGGGCCTGGGAAGAGAAGCAGAAGTGAGACTGAATACAGAGCTATAACCAAAGTACTTACTGAATTTCTATCACTCACTTTCATCTGCCCTATAATCCAGGCATCTCACAATTTTCCCTGACCATGCCATCTTCCACATGTTTTTTCATGGGTTATTCCCTTCATCAGAACCACTTTGCCTTCTTCACTGCTTAACTTAAATCACATGTGCCATCTTCCATTCTGCTTTCTTGCCACTTCCATGATATTGTATGCCTTTATTTTAGCATTTGTCATCTATGTTTATTCTCTTGCTTTTCTGTTCCTTGGGTCTAACATGGTTCTTCATCTTCATACTACCAATATTCAACACTGTTCCCACCACCCAATAGGGTGATCAATAGTATGATTTGACTGAATAAATAAATGCTTAAGTTGAACATCAGAGTACAGGATATGGGGTTTTCACCAGATTTGTTTTATCATGCTTCCTAATGTTCACATTATAAACTTAAACATAAAGTTTAAAGACATCTACCTGGTAGGGTTTCTGAAATACTGGATTGGCTATGAGAAACCTAGGTCAAAATGACAGATTTTCTGTGACTAATATCCAAAATGAATAATCCTAAAAGGTGATGTATGAGTTTCTGTACTCAAATAGATATGTTTAGGTTGGAAGTTTGGTGTATCTCTTGAAAGACAAGTCTCAAACTCTTCTTTTATTTTATATTTTTTAAATTTTTTAAATGTTTATTTATTTCTTAAATAGTTTATTGTCAAGTTGGTTTCCATATAACACCCAGTGCTCATCCCAACAAGTGCCCTCCGCCATCACCCCCCTTCCCTTCTCCCCCACCCCCATCAGCTCTCAATTTGTTCTCAGCATTCAAAAATATGGCTAACTTCATGAATTGGCATGTCATCCTTGTGCAGGGGCCATGCTAATCTTCTCTGTATCATTCCAATTTTAGTATATGTGTTGCCAAAGCAAGCACTCAAATCCTTCTTTTAAAAGAACTCTAACCACTCAGAAAATGTGTCTGAATATTTCTCAACAAATATTGTTTTATATCCTATTGTAATTATTTAAGTATCTTATCTCTTGTACCAGAGTACAGGATCTTCGAAGGCAGGTCCATGGATATTTTTTTATCGCCATACTACCTAAAACAGTGCCTTGATAATAATAGGTACTTTATAAACAGAGGACTTCAGCTTTTGCATGCTTTAAATTAGAAATACCAGCTCTAGTATGACCTATCCCAATATTACCTTCTTTTCTTTGTAGAGTTGAGGACATCAACATCATTTTGGATGAGTCAATTTCATGTTATTCAATAATTCTTAACCTAAGCCCTCTTTTGGTGGATACCTTTATTTATAAATATGATATCCTTTTACTTAATAATATATCTTTTTACTTAACACTCATGCTAGCACACTAGCACCTATTAAGAACAGAACAAGTGGTCAAGCTTTACTTCTATAAGCTTTACCTCTATGGTTTGTAGTATGAGACAATAGCGGATTTTTTTCCCAATGATAGAATGTCCTTTACATTGAAAAATCATTGTAGTATTTACATACAAACATTGAACATTAATGATAATTTTTGCCTTGACTTCAGATGGTACATGGCCTTACACAATTTTTAAAAAAAAAATTTTTTTTAATGTTTTATTTATTTCTAGGAGAGAGAGAGAGACAGCGTGAGCAGGGGAGGGTCAGAGAGAGGGAGTCACAGACTGAAACAGGCTCCAGGCTCTGAGCTGGCAGTCAGCACAGAGCCCGACGTGGGGCTCGAACCCACGAACCGCGAGATCATAACCCAAGCGAAAGTCGGACGCTTAACCGACTAAGCCACCCAGGCGCCCCTACACAATTTTTTTAGAGCACTTGCAGAAATTTGCTCTTAGCCTATTCATTTGGCCTGGTATATGTATCAGATCTATTTTTCCCTTTCATAATAGTGCAACAACAGCAGAATTTAACTAATCACCCTGATGACTAGAGACCCTTTGTGGATTTTATGAATTAGTGATAAAGTGGAACAAATCTCCAAAATAAAGGGAAATGCCTCATCAAATTTATTCATTTATTTTGACAAGAGCAATTTTGTTTTAATTACTTATGATAGCATCTCAGTAAATGTGCTGTAGCAGGTTTTCTCAAATTAATTAAGCCCCCTTTTCCCACCAAGGCACTTTGCTTATACAGGAAGAATAAAAGGGAGGAAAAAGCATAGATTTCATTGAGACAATCATTGGTTTTCTGGATTCTTCTAGAGAATAAATGAACATTTTTCAAAAAACAGTGTCCCCTCCTTTTGAGTATACATTTCATAAGCTCATTGGAAGAGAAAATTAGGAATTGCTTTTAAAAGATACATTTGGATAGGAATTGAATTTTGAGCCGAATTCGCTTTTCAATTTTAAAAGTGTTTTGAAATAGGTCCTAAGAAAAAAATAGTTTCAACTAAATCATTTTTACTAATGTATAGACTTTCAGGATGAAAAACAATTTAAAAATTGTCTAATCTATTAATAGATGCAGTAGTTTGTATTTTATACCTCATTGATCACCTCAGGAAAGAAATGAATTCTACCACGGTTTAAATGAAGACTTTTGGTTCTCTTAAAAACATCTACATTTTTTGCTGCCTCTAAATTAATCTATTGGACAAAGTTTAATGTAGTAGTTAGAAGCAAAGATGCTGCCAGCAGACTAATTGGGGTCATATCCCATTTCTACTATTTCTCACCCACATGGCCTTGGACAAGATCTGGACCTCAGTTTGTAATATTTTTAAAAATGCAGATAATAATATATTCATTATATCATTCTGAGAACAAAATGAAATAATGCCTATAAAGTGCTTCACATACTCTCTGGCATATAATAAGCACTAGTATATGTTAGTTATTTTTAGTAAGTTGTTAACCTCGTACTGTTGCCTTGAGAAGCTGCTTGGTGCAAGCACAGGATTCAGAATCGAATGTTTACTAACACCAATCCACTCACTGACTTATAACAAATTAAGGAAATCTCCAGGACACTGATTTTTTCACCCCACAAAATGCAGTTCGGTGGCTAACCAAGAAAAATTCATACACTAGAGGAATTTAGGTCAACCATAAATTTCCAGGACTTATAGCACATAATCACAGTATCCATTACCTTTATTTTGTACAGAGAGCAAAATACATAATCTTCCCTGGTGAATAATAGCATATTTTAATTTAGTAAAGACTTTCTCTGACCTAGGAAAAAGATGTTTAAATGACCGAGTTTTATGTTTCAATTAATATTGTGGCACTGGTTCAAATCTCCTGCAAACATTTTTAAGTAGCACTTAAGCAAACTCAATTAAGATTTATGGCTAAAGTTCCACAATTTAATGTTATTTTCCCCTCATTCTCTTGGAGCAAACAGAAGAAAACCATATTATGGGTTGAATGTAGGCACCAATTATATATGGATATTGATTGCCTAACCTCAAGTTGCAGTGCGAAATACCTTCCTGTTTATATAAAGTATTACCTAATGATACTTAAAACTCAAACTCCTTTTTATTTCTCTTTAAAGCTAAAAACTCCCATTTTGTTTGCACGTGGTAATGACTTCTGATAACTGACTGTTGACTCTATGAGTGGATAATCCATTTGTCTTAACCCCAATTCTCAGTGCTGCCTAGGAAACAGCAAGGCTGAGCCCAGAGAAGTGACTCACAAACAGGAAAAACATACTCAAGGAAATTATGTATCTGTATCTGATAAACTGAAAACAAGGTAATTGTATTTACTTTTTAAAAGTAAGACTGAAAATTTTGAACAAATTCAAATAACCAACATTTTATTACAATAATTGATTTTGCACTTGTGTTGACTAAATTGATACTTTTGATTCCTTCTTTTGCTCCTCTCCCACCATAACTAATTTGTGATTAGCACTTTCCCTTGAATTGTTTCATGTTATAGACCCTGCTTTTTGCCTTTGTCTGATTTTATGCCTGCTTACAGCTCAAAGACAAACTGACATGATTTTGGGATTCCACAATCAATATATTGCTTTGCAGAGAGCCCAATGGAGGGTATGTAGGGACGGAAATATAAGACATGGTCCCTCTCTCAAAGAGGATTATCCCTCACGTTCTGATCTCTTTCCCCCCATGCATTAGACAGTGTGATTTATATAAAGCTACATGAAAGCAAATACACAAACATAAGGATGTAAGCGTGAGATTACAAGGAGCTCTGACACAAATTTCTCCGTTTTTTCTACCTAATAATCTATATTTTCATCCTTCCTAATACACAAATGAGAAAACAATATTCTGTACACAAATTTGAAGTTGCTTTTTTATTTTCTTCAAATGCAGTATCGTAATTATACAGCAACAGGCGCTGAATTTACAGTGATACAACTATGATAAGTTTAGCATTCTTATAGTACATAGCTACGATACATACCTTTTATGGCAGTCAGAGCCAGCCATCTAAATTTATGAAGAGGTGGACATAAGAGTAGCCCAATAGATTATATGCAACTTAGAGATGGAGGACAGCTCAGCCAGCTCTCTATCCTGACTTTCTACTACCAAGTCAGAAAAGCTCTTATTTGGTTTTATATAGGGAACAAGAAAACAAAACAAAGCCAAAACAATATACACCACCAACAAAATAAGAACATATACACAAGAACATGCATAAGTGCCCAGGATATTTTATGTCCCTCTTTTAAGAATGTAGTTTATAGTTGAGTAAATCACTGGATAATTTTGAATCTGTTTTTCTTTTCCACTGGCATTTATAGTTTGTTTTATCTTTTCTGCTCCACCAAACTGAGTGTAACACATAAAAAGAAGTATCTTAATCGTTAATATTGTTAATGCTTTATTACACAAATCGAGGAATATAATAAAATCATGATTCAGACTCAATTAATTTAAAATTTTGATATGACTAAGGATTTAAGTTTTACTTGGTAACAGTGACAAAGTGTCTGCAGGAAACATTTAACCTACTGAGGAAAGACTTTTCATAACTCCATCAATTGTTTCCAAATAGGAGTTTTGGGTTACATACAAATAAATCTCTATCAGGAAGAATTTGTTAGCAAGAATTTGAGGAGTAATCAATCCAAGCACTGAGAGGGGGCTTAAAGGAATAACACTGCACTTATTTTTAGCACTATCTAGATATTTCACTGGAATCTTGGCCCAGTTACTCTGAATACACAGCCTAAAAAGCAATTTTAGTATTAAAAAATAAAATGGCATTTGAAACAAATTATTTTTATAATAGCTTTAGTCAATATTTAAGTATTTGACAATGGATGCTAACCAAAGCACAGGGTGCAAAGACCATCTGGTGACAATGTGGTGTCAGCATAACCTAATGGTTTATCAGGGATGTCAAATAAGCAGCTCAGCTTCTGTGAGGGTATTTCCTTTCCCCCGCCCAGCACAGATAACTGTTAATCATTTCTGTTGCTCTTTCCCATCAAGCTCAAACAGTAGCCTTAGAACCTCTGTACAGAGATCTCTTCAGATATCAAAGTACAAATACATGGAGTTAGCCTACAAGATAAATCTTTTGTTATTTCAGCCTTAGATTAAATAATTAAAACCTTGTCTGATAAACTTTCACAAAGAGTCAATTAAGACTTTGGCCTAGGCTGGGTGCATAATGTTAAGATGGGTAACCAGTTAAACAAGTGAGTCGAACTAAGAATTATTCTAGATGTGGAATTTAACATTCAAAGTTATTGTTTACAGAACAGAGACTCAAACTCTCCCAGTAGGGACTTCTCAAAAAAACATGGAATACTTCAAACACAGACAGTGCAGTGTTAATGCACATAGCTATTTGCTCTTTTACTCTAAATTCATGAGTGTATGTGCATGTGTACCCCTCCTAGCCAGGTAAAATTATAAAGAAAATTAAACAGAATAATAACTATTTACTCAGCTCCAACTCCCTGTTTTGTAAGGAAA